TAGAAAAACAGCGATCCGTTAAAATCGCTATTTTTCTATATGAATTACTTATTAAGTGGGCGGGGTTTAGAGTTGAGGGGCGGAGCTTCTTCTTAACTTCTTCTTCGAAGTTTAATTTATCCATCCATCAAGTTAGAGGGGTGACTGCATTCAATTTCGATTTTTTCCAATTCATTTTTCACCGGTAGGTTCACCCGCTCTTATCTATGGAATTTTAGGGTAATAGTATGAAACAAATATTGACTATTATTCATATATTGATTTCAGTTGATTCACACGTTTTCTCCAATGTATATTCGTGAAGTACTCCAGTATTCTGTTCACAACGCTGGATTTGCAGCAGCTCTGCCAGTGCTGTTTCAGTTTCTTGTAAAGGTCAGTAGATTCCATTGAAGTGCTAGGCAGAGTTTCTCTGTAAAACGCGTAACAAAATGACAAGAATCCAAAATGTCTCTAGAATGAGCCATGCATTTGCTGTTGCTCAGAATCCTTGGAAATACACTACGTTCAACCTCACTTTTTTCTCAGAAAGACAGGAACCGGAGCTTTATGAATTGTGTGGATGTAAGGAAAGGCAATTATTACCTTCACAAACTTGGAAGCATCGTTAGAATTGAAAAACAAAATCAAGAAAGAAAATTTACGTTGAAATTTCAGCATGCATGCTTGGCAAAGGTTCCAATACACTGAGTGCAAAGCAGTGGCTTAACAAACCGGGGGGCTAGTATCCTAGAAGCTACCTAAGGATATTTGTGTACCGAAAACATTGACTCACCATAGTCATCTGACTTGTCTGATGGCTACCGGGCACTTTAGCTTAACAGCGGAGCGCCCTTACTACCTACCTTGGCCCTAATAACCACATTGCATTCGCTCTTTAAATTGAAGCATCCGGGCGCAGTCGGACAAAATCACTACATTTTTCCCTGTTGGTAAGTCATTTTATTGAAAAAGGGCAGACATAGATGTAAACTGTAGAAGAGGAGGAGTGTGTGTAGGACACTGTCTGAACTGGTCTACCGGAAACATTGAAGTCTTCCACGAAAATCGCCACCATTTTTGGGTCAAGTCACTCCTTTTCTATAAGTTTTTGCCTCATTTTATGTCATGGAACCCATTTGGTGGTTGTCGTTGGATGAGAGAAATGCGTCTAAAATAGTGTGAGGTGGCAGCGAGCTAATGATTCCCAGTTTTCTAAGAACTTCCCAAAGCTAAGAAGAAGCTACTGTATCCATGAATGTACCTAACTTGCTGTAATTTTCGCTCGAGTAGACGATGCAGAATAATTTCCGAAATGGAACCTCACACATCCTGAGGGAGTCTCGCTTTCCACTCTACGCTTCACGTTTTCTCGATCACCGGATCACCCTCTCAATGAAGACACTGCCCTGTTCAATAATTTTTGAAGAGCCCTGAGCGCACGGTTTCATCTTTCCCTCTTCCTTTTCCCTCAGCAAATTGAAAACTTCCCTTGTTAAGGAAGTCTGATCACAAACGTGAATCTGTTGGCATTGTCAGTAAGTACCATATTGGTATAGGGTTGTCTGATGCAGTACCTTTTACAGGTGTTCGCCGGACACAGTAGCGACCAAATTCGAGGCGTTTCCGAGACGACAAAAATTCGAATTTTCAACAGTATAGCTTTAGGAGCAAGTGCAGGATTTCTATGTGCACTGGCGTTCGTGAAACAAGGTAAGAATATGCCAACATGGAGACCTTGAAAGGATTTTCGGGATGACCATTGTGGTGTTCAGGTCAGGGCATTGTCGGAATCGTGCTCATCACACTTGCCACTGCAATGTTTGGTTTCAATGGAGGAGGATTCAATAAAGTGAGTCAAACTTTACGAACCCTCCAAGAAGTTAACCTCGACCCCCACTGTTTCCGTTTTCACCCTAGGTCAACCTCGAATTTCCGTTGAATTACCAGTAGAAGAGGGTGAAACTGGATTCGGAGAATATGGTAATCATCGTTCTGATACGCCGTAGGTCTCCTATTCCCAAAACCTCAAATGGGGTGCCTATCTCAATCAGAAGGTCTTTCCCGAAACCATTGAAGCTACCCTTGTCTAAGGTATTCGAATATTTATGGTTTGTTTACAGTGTGCGACTTTGGTCTCAAGGCAGTACGGCCATTTCGTTTTAGCTAATATCCAATTCATTTGGTGTCTGTCGATGCTCATTTGTCCAATTTTGGTAAGTATTTGATTTACCGTCTTCTAAAGTGCGTATAATTGAAAAGCAACAAGAAAACCTAAACGAAATGTTGAATAACAACTTTGCTTTGCTTTTTTCTTTGACTGATTTTTTTCTTTTTCCAAAATTTCCCCTTTTTTGTATGATTTACAGTATTAGCCGGCATTTCGAAGGGAATTCACATGAATCACCCCATCTGAGTTTCTCATTTCAAAAGGAGCCGGTTTGGCTACCTAAGAAGCAGTTCCCAGCTCCCAGGTCACTATCAAGCCCAAATTTTGATCCATATGTTGCAAACCTTACTACACTACTCTTGTGCTAGGATGGGACAAATACATCGCGTGGGGTTCCACTCGAGATTCCCGGTAAAGGTGTTCTCCAAGTTTACAGGTCTAGGCAAAACTGTGTTTAGGCAATGATAGATTTGAATCACATCGTAGAACTTAAAAGAATCTTTTCAAGGGCACGGTTCACCATAAATATGGCTACTGAGATTTCTCGCTAAGATGAACCTGTGGCCAACTAGGACAGCAGGTGGGACATTGTCGGGTCGAAAAATGACCTCAACGAAGCGCTATAGTGACTTCAAAGTCTGTTTTGTTGACGTACACACCCAGAAACGGCCGTGTTATGACGCCTTTGTTGAGGCTGTACCATTCACAATGTAGCGAATAGCATACACATTTGCGAGAAACCTAGACGGTTACATACGCATGATCTCGTACAACCACTTTCTCACTGTTTTTTTTTTTGAAGTATTATAAATGCGCCACGTTATTCTGTACCTTAACTTCCATCATTTCCCTCAAGACGGACAACTTAAAGTTAACGTGAACTAAGCGTTAGCAAAAGGGGTGCATATCATATCTCAAACTATGTTAAATACCAAAAACTCTTATGTTGAGGCAAATATTTTTGATCGAATCATGTTTCGGGCTCTCCTGAAGAACAGAAAAGCCTGAAAGGGAACCTGAGAAATGGGAAAATAAGAAAAAAAGTTCAAAATGTTGTTTTCTACTCAGTTGTGTAAACAGAGACTTAGTACTTGATACCGAAATCATTCCAGGTTGGTGCACTGCTACCAACGGGTTCTGCACAGGAATGGCGTACGGTATATTTGGCTCATGCCGTCCTTCTACTTCTATCAAATGCAATATTTTGCTGGTTGGCCACCGCAAAACCTGCTCCTTGGACCGATCCGAACATAACAAATCCTTCAAAGAAAAACACGCCAATGATTGCAAGACTCAGAGTCTAATTGTAAATTGTGGCATATTCTGGAAATATTCATCATTGTGAAATGGATGCATTTCAATTCCGCTANTCTGGCTCATGCCGTCCTTCTACTTCTATCAAATGCAATATTTTGCTGGTTGGCCACCGCAAAACCTGCTCCTTGGACCGATCCGAACATAACGAACCCTTCAAAGAAGAACACGCCAATGATCGCAAGACTCAGAGTCTAATTGTAAATTGTGGCATATTCTGGAAATATTCATCATTGTGAAATGGATGCATTTCAATTCCGCTAACATTTTAAGCTGCTGTTTACTCGTTTTCGTTTTTCGCTCACGAAAAACGCATAATCTTCTTATATGACTTATGATCTCGTTATACAGTTAGTAAATGCCATGTTCCAAATATATATGCTCATCGTAAATCACAATAAAAGCAATTTTCACTCTGTGCGTCTGGTTGGACAGTAAACACCCGAACAACTAGCCGATTCCGGATGCGAACCCGTGACCATGCGGGTATGGTACTGCCACTTCCCGCCACACCACCTCCGCCCATTATATAGCTCATCAGATGTTCCCCATTCTTCATCAGATGCCTGAGGAATGAAAGCACATTATAGAAGTCAAAAAACGTTCAAGAAATTGGTCATCCTCACCATTATTCATCTTCATCGATGTACGGGTAGGGTAAAGAAGTGAGTGCGGAGTCCTGTCATGTTCAATTTGAGAACGTACCTTCCATACGCAGTAAGTTCATTCCCTATCATTCGCATTCTGCAGCGTATGAGCAATGAGTTTATGAAGAAGTGCCGCGAATTTGCCTTAGTTCCCTCATTCGATTATGGTTGAGTTTTGCCGAAGAAACCCTCTAATGGGTAATTTTCTGATTTCTGATCCTTCGACTAGTGTGGTCCGGTATTTTTTCAAGTTATTAAGTTGGGAACTCCGAAAAAATGTGGAGGCAGTCGTTAATTGTCTGGAAGCTATCGATGGAGTACAAGACTTCCGATAGGAGGAAAGTGACGTCTCAAGTCACTGGGAATGAGGGGCACAGGGTCGGGTAAGCACTTCATGATCGAAAAGAAGACGTCCCACAGGTAGCATTTGCTTTTTTCGAACACCTCGCTTGCTTATTATACTGATGGACTGGAATTCATAGGAACATTCACAAAAACAAAAATTCCATAGAAACAACACCAAAGCAAAAGGAACACTTAATGAATTTGTTTATTTTCGTGCACTAGAACAGCTTTAAACATCATGCTTTGGCATCCGTGCAAAATTTGCAGGTCTTGGCACAAAACTTCTCAACCAATGGCCGGAAAGGTTCCTTTCCACACAGTCCTTGTTGCTGTCGACTGCTACAGTACTCTTGGCCAGCAAGGTCTTTACATGGCTGAAATCGATATCATATCAGAATGTATTACCTCACAAAATACCGCATTCCCTTCTTCTGGCTAGGAACTTGTTAACATTTCAGATACGTGCTTAAATCGACTGTACTGCAATTTATCAAGGTGGTAATGTACCGAGTTCTCTGCAGCGTTTGTGGTGAAGGTACTGAGCAGCAAAAG